GCTGTTATTCTATTATCTTGAATCATTATTCTGTGACCCTTTGGCAAATTTACATACAATGGGGCAGGCATCCAGAGGTAGAATTTTGTTAATGGAAAGAGGTATAGCCTTTCAGCTAAATCCTCCAACACCCCTCATGCTGTTTCTGGGTTCAGGGCTCATGACAGGGTTATGGTTCAGTGATAAGGCATCTGCTTAGCATACAGAAGGTCCTAGGTTCAATCCCCGGTATTGCCAGTCAAAAATATCAGGAAGCTGTTTATTTGAAAGACCTCTACCCACAACCTTGAAGAGCCACTGCCGGCTGGCATTGCTTATTCCCCACAATCCAGGATTAACCTGATGTCTGAATGCCTAGGTAAAACCACTTCAGGATGGCTTTATTCTAGAACTACACTGTTTAAAGGTGTCATATGGAAAGTGGAATCAGAACTGTAACCCAACTGTCCCTAGGTGGCAGCAGAATCCAGTAAATGGTCTAGAGTCCAACCCTAAATGGAATTACCCCCATCAAAGGCCATTTATTGCCTTGTTAATTTCTCAATGCAGTCAATGTGCAAAGAAGACAATGTAAGTTCTTTTGTCTGATGCTCAGCCATGAGGGGCAGTTTGGTGTAGTGGTTAAGTGCCAGTTTGGTGTAGTGGTTAAGTGAGCAGACTCTAATCTGGGAGAACTGGGTTTGATTTCCCACTCCTCCACTTGCAGCTGCTGGATGACCTTAGGCAAGCCATAGTTCTGTCAAAGCTGTCCTTGAAAAGAGCAGTTTCTGTCAGAGCTCTCTCAGCCCCACCTACCTCACAATGGGATGGTCAAGCATGAAATGGAGATTTGGAGGTGTTAAATACCAGAGAGATCACCAGGAAAAGCTTCTTTGACCTGGCCTGACCTGGTCAGTGGGTGGGGAATAGAGGAGACAAGTGGAGACCCGCAAGAAACTTGCGGGATGGTTATCCTATTCCTCATACCTTTGCTTCCTCCTGTCTCCCCCTACCTCTCTCACCCTCTTTCTCCCTTCTGCCCCCCTTTCTTCCTCTCTCTCCTCCATGTACGGTTTGGAGGGTGAAGTCTATGGCATTATACTGGTCTATAGTTCCTCCCCTCCTCAAATTCCACCCTCCCCAGTATCCACCCCTCAAATGTCCAGGAATTTCCCAAACTTGAAGTTGGCAACAGAATTTCCTTCCCACCCAACAGCCAACCTACTTTTATCTGCCTCTCTGTCTTCAGCTTTCTGTCTCCTCTCCACACTCATCTCCCACAGCCTCTACCTAGGAAAATTACAGTCTTTCTCCACAGTGGGGACCAAAGCAGCTTACATTATTGTCTCCTCCTTTTTATCTGCACAACAACCTTGTGAGGTTGGCTAAGCTGAAAGTATGTGACTGGTCCAAAATCACCCAGTCAGCTTCCACCGCAAGATGGGGATCTGAACCTGGGTCTCGCAGACCCTAATCTGAGGCTCTGTTACATTACACTTGCTTTCATAGGGTGGCTGCTGATGAACAGTAGCAAGCAGCTGGGCCTAACTGAGTCATGCAAATCAGGTGGTATCAAGTCACCCAGAGGGTGCTGCCGAGGGATGCCAGCCTCCAAGTGGGACCTGGGGATGCCTGGAATTACTGCTCATCTCCAGACTACAGAGATAACTTCCCATGGAGAAAATGGATGCTTTGGAGGGTGGACTCTGTGGCATTGTACCTCACTGAGGTCCCTGTCCTCCTCAGGCTCCACCCGCAAATCTCCAGGAGTTTCTCAGCCTAGATGTGGCAACCTTACCTACCAACCCTTGCTGGAGGCCAGGGGTGGGTGGGACATGGTGACCCTAAACTGCTGCCAGGCCTAGGGTTGCCAACCTCTAAGTGGCACCTGGAGGACCCCCCCCCCCAGAATTAGAACTGAACTCAAGACAGCAGAGATCTGTCTCCCTGGAGGAAATGGCTGCTTTGGAGGGTGGACTCTGTGGCATTATACCCAGTTGAGGCCTCTCCCTTCCCCAAACCCAGTCCTCCTTACAGTCCACCTCAAAACCTCTAGGGATTCCCCAGGCTGGCACTGGCAGCCCTTTTCAGGCCTGGCCCCAAGGCTCCCTCCCTCCCTCAAAAGCCAAAAGAGGCCACGAAAGGCCCCCTCCCCCACCCTGCCCTTGTCCCACCCTTTTACTGATGGAGCCAGTTAGAAGGCCCCCCCAAACATTCTAATCTCTCATCGTTGATGTCTGGAGTTAGATCCCATGCAGAGGCCATTTCAAAAGGTATTGGGGGGAATTCAACCCTCCCTGAAGGGATTTTTTTTACTTCTTGGATTTTTCTGCAGATACAGGACTGACTATGTAGGAAAAGCTGTTGGGGGAGAGTGAGCCCTCTGTTGGCAGAAATAAGTATCCACACAACCCCCCCTGTGGGAATTAGATATATAGATAAAACTCCTGGAAGCAAGGAGGAAGCGCTCTTTTGTGCTGAGTCCATCAGAGCAGACAGAACTCTTAACTGACATCTGGAGGAGATAGCCATTAACTATGTGCTGGCCTGAAAAGCTGGAGGTAACTGCAAGGCAATGGAAATCTGCAGAGATCTATAACATCCTAAGCTAAGGAGCCTGTCCTATATTCTAACATCTGACAGACAGGGCATGTGTAGCAAGACGGAAAGAGAAATTGTGTTTCACCCATTTCTTTTGAATTCTTTGCTCAATCTGGTGCTGTGCTAATAGTATGCTTGTGAACATTTTCTTTTTAATAAATACTTTATTACCTTTGAAGCTGGTAGTGGTTCTCTGTACCACTTAGACCTTCACTGTCTTGAACACATTATTTTGAAAGGAGAGCCAGGGGAAGGCAGGCAGTTGGCAAGCGGCTATTCCTCCAAAGGCGCACAAGGCAGCAAACAGTTCCCGTTGTGACCAGGCACTGGGCAACGGGAGACACAGAGGCAAGGCCTCAGAACTTGGAAGGGAAGCTGGGACTCCTGACCCTCCCAGTGGGCAATTCCTCACAAAGGTAAGGTGGTGGCAGCGAGTTACCTGAAAGAGAAAGAAAAGCCTCTCCATGTGTTGGGAAAATTTTGGAGGGCAGGGTGGAACAGGGCGTGCAGGCAATTTAATGTTTAAAAATAAAATAGGAGGAAGGACCAATATTTATAAGTACAACTATACAGGGGTGGTATCCAGGCTCTGTGAAAATCCCTAAAATTCATTTTTGTGGGGGCTTGTAGACCCCATTACTTATTCCTTCAACTCAAAGCCTCCTTCATCTACAATTTTTTTAAAAAAAATTAAGCTGATGCTTAACACCTCTTATCTTAAGTGATGCATCGATATAAAGCAATTGTTAAATTAGAGTTTTCTTTATGTTGTGATAATTTAGTATCAGATTTGTAGTTAGGGAGGGGGGAGTATTCTTTGAGCTTTGTCTCTGGAACCCCATATATCACCCTATCTTTAATCAGCTTTGGCTGATTCACCCATGACACCCGCTACCCAGACACACAGATGCAGCTCCTGTCTCCCACATCCCTATCAGGCCATTGTAATGCACTCCACATGGGGGATTCCTGCAAAAAAATATATATGCTGGAAGTTTATTGGGTTTCCTATAAACCTGGAGGCAAAGCAAACTGGAGGCTGTTAATCACAAAGTAGTTACCTTCTACATGCATCCAAGCATACAATCATTTTTATTCGGATAGAGAAAGGATCTGAACAAAACATTTTCAGTGAGTCTTTTAAATCAGTCTGAATGGATCAATGGGTCTCCTACAGCCCAAGGAACAGTCTGAGCCAGCCTATCCTCCTTATGATGTCTGAACTTTCTGCACGGCTGTCAAGAGCCACCCAGAGGCCCCCAGCCCAAGATTCCCTCTGACCACCCGAATCCATGGGCTTTCAGGGTGATCATGGTCCCCAGATTCCCCCCCTGCCTCCCCCCCCCGCCCAGTGGCCATGCTTTTCTGAAGCTACTTCCCCAGGCACAGTTTGTCGGGAGGCCCTGAAAGAGTTCGACAATTGCAGTGGTAGTAGCATCGAATGCAGCAGAAGGGAGGAACAGAACCAAGGGGTCCGAATCCAGCAGCTCCCTGCTCTGAAGAGGCCTCTGTCACCAATGGCTTGGAGCTCTGAACATTCCACAGGCATCCAGCGGTTCCAGGTGCTCCAGTTGCATCTGCAGTTCCTTTCAGTTCATCTGGAAAGAGTCCCTGGTCTCATGGTTCTTAGCTCCCTCCTCCTAGGTAGGGATGTTTTTTTTTGTTTTGTTTTTTTGCAGAAGCAGATCCAGCCTTCAGCACCTGGTATTTCTGGGTGGTCTCCTGTCCTGGGTGGTCTCCTAACCAGGTCTGCTTAGAAAGTGGACTATAAACCCCACCTCCAGGGGAGGGGAACCTGCCAACAGACCTAAGGTGTCTCTTTCCCCCCTGTACAGCAGTTCCTCTTGCTTGCCAGCAGATGGCACTGGGAAATCCTCACACCTAGACATGCGAGCATTACTCCACACACATATTTGCTAACCTAGAAGAGCGATTTCTGAATCCAGCATTACAGTCGGTCAGTCCCAGCCTTCTTGCAGCAGAGGGCAGTCCTGTGCTACTTCAAGCTCCCGGCCCTCATTGATTCTGCTACATGTCAACATTTTAAGATCCACAATTTTGCAGGTGGTTGTATTCCAACCAGCAAGTCACACCAGACAGAACTGGAAGCAACATTTCCCAAGAAACCATAACTTCCTCTGGGTCTCAGGATGACAATTCACATACATTAGAACATCAGTTCTGGGGAGAGCTCCAATCACCCCTCCTTCCCTCCCTCCAAACAGCACCGGTGGGAACACATATCTGGGAGACCTTTCACAGGCCACGGCTTGTCTGCTGATTTCTGTTTGGTTCACATGGTTGGCTGGCAAGAGATGCCACACCTCAGTGACCTGAAAGATCGTAATGCAGTCATTGGCTGCTGCTGGATCTTGTAATCCAGTTGAGGCGAAACACACACACAAAAATTCCTGATTTCTTCACGGGGAGAGATGCGGACGGAAAGTACGGGGCCTGATCATCATGGTAACCTTCCGGAGGGAATAATAATCCGTGTCTTTCCATGTGTACCACACCACCCCATCCGGTCCTAGGATCCTGCGGTTTTTCAAGGAATATCTGCCACCCTATAGGGGTTGAGAAGAGAAAACAGGAGTCAATTAAGAATACTCTAAAAGTGGCCTCTTATCCTGGCATCATCCTTATCCTGCTGCCTGTGTAGGCCAGACCTCATTCTTCGGTAACATTCCTTTCTACAGAATCCAGGAACCAGAAGGCCTCCATCAAGAGCTGGCCTAGATTTCTACCTAGCACAATTTGTGATTTAAAAAGCCAGGGGGGGAAAAGACACTTTGGGGAAGAAGCAAGTGGGCATCCAGAAACACATCAGTAGGCACAGTGGCACCCATTGGTGCTATGTTGAGGATCACTGGGTTTGGGTGAGGAGGCCCAGGTTCAAAACCCCTGCTTGTGATGACATTCATAGGGCTGACCTTGGGCCTATCATTCTCTCTCAGCCTAACTTTCCTCGTAACGTTGCTGTGAGGAAAATACTTGAAGAAAGAACCATGATGTACACCATCTGGAATTGTTGGAGGAAGGGTGGGGTGGAAGAAGGGTGGGATTCATTTCAAGAGACGGCTATAAAGGCTGTGTGGGTCAGGGTCAACCGCCAGACCTTACCTGGTAATATACTCCGTTGAGGTTGGAGAAGAAGCACTGGTGATACCACCAGCCTCCGTGGGAGATGGCAGCACAGATGTTTCCTGAATCAGGTGTGCTGAAGCTCCTTTTGTTGTGGTACCAGGCAAAGGAATCCTCTACCGTCCCACTGAAGCCTTCTACATGCAGGCGGTAATAGTTAGCTTCGTCCTCAATGCTGTAAAGCAAATAGGGATTGTGCCAGGAACGGTCCTTGGAAAAGATTCTCAAATATTCTCAGGACAAAGCAGCTTTGAAGGTTACATGGAATGTGAGGGGTGGGATGGGGCTTGCATTCTTTCCTGGGCACAGCAAATGTAAAAGTTCTGTGCTGAGTTATGACGGGGGCTTTGCATTCAGATCACCTCTAAAGCCTGTCACAAAAGGCCCCGAACAAAATTCATACGCATGACCAGAACCCCTTACATTATCCTTTGACTGACGCCACAATGACGGGAGGAAATTCTGGTGTGAGGAGACTGTAAGAGCAGCACCCCATTCCTGGTTATACAGTAACTAAGTGGTGCTCTCCTGAAGGAAGGATGTGCAGTTCCAGTCAGCTCCAAGTTATTTGTTCCTTTGAGCACTAGAGGTCAGTGAACAGCACTGAAGTGTATTGAAGTAAGTCATTACTTTCCTTTTAGCAAAGTTAACTGAAACAATATCAACACCTGATGTGATCTCAGGACATCAGATACTCTACATGAGTCTGCTCTCAAAGAAAACCAGGAAACGCCAGCTGGTATGTAATATTATACCTGATTTGCAGTCACTCTGTTGGTAACCAATTATTCCTGGGCTCAATTCCAGGTATTGGCTGTCACCTACAAAGCTCTTCATGGCCTTGGTCCCTCATATCTAGAGGACTGCCTCTCCCACTCTGCCCCACTACAACCACTGTGCTCATTTGAGCAAAGTCTTCTGCAGGTGCCATCCTGCACATGAGTAATATCAACAGCTGTCCATGTCTGAGCATCCTCTGCTGTGGCTTTCATTTTGTGGAATGGCCTGGCTGAGGAGGTCAGAAAGGCTCCCAAACACACTTCTAGCATTCCACAGAATGTGTAAAATGGGATTGTTCTGGAGGGCATTTTTATAAAGTGGTAAGGACTGCTTATTGTATGCATTATATGATTTACTGCATTGCTTCCTAGATCCTGAAACCCAGTAAATAAAGGTACCGAACATGCAGACACATCTCTAATCTATGGGCATATATATGTCCCTGACTGTCCAATAGATGGATGTTTGATTTCCTCACTAACAGCAGGTGGCGCTATTGCGTTAGTTAACTATGTGGAAAGAATGTTCTGGAGACAGGAAAGCAACTCTAAGGGGAGTTTTTAAAGGGGGGGGTTGCTGGTTGATTGCCCACATGTCCTTACATTGTTGATCCAGCCTTGTCCGCCCATACCTGAAGAGTTGATAGAAGGCATGCTTGTGCTTGTTATTCCAGTCTTCCAGATCAATGCGGAGAGAGTAGTCCCCTTGGTTGGTGATCTTGTGAATGTTTTCATTACCCATCCAGAATTCACCATTTAAATTGCCAAACCCATCTTTGTATTCATTCCACGTCCTGTTAAAGTTGACTGTACCATCTTGCCGCCGCTGGATGACTGTCCAACCTCCACCTGTCAAGGATTTAGTCAATGTATGGAATTTCTAACCTACCTCCATCCCAAGTGCTTAGGGCAGGAACATCATTGAACACCAGAGTCAGTGTGGATATAGTGATGAAGGAGGAGGAGGAGGAGGAGAGATTGGATTTATATCCTGCCCTTCACTCGGAATCTCAGAGCAGCTTACAATCTCCTTTCCCTTCCTCTCCCCACAACAGACACCTTGTGAGGTAGGTGGGGCTTAGAGAGCTCTGAGAGAACTGCTCTGAGAGAACTGTGACTGGCCCAAGGTCACCAAGGTGGCTACATGTGGAAAAGTGGGGAATCAAACTCAAAATGACTGCTTTGGAGGGTGCATTCTGTGGCCTTACACCCCACTGAAGTCCCTTCCCTCCCCCAAACCAACCCTAACCCTACTGCAGCCCAGAGTTGGCAAGTCTAGCCACAGAGTTCACTGGGTGGCCTTGGGCCAGTCACTCTCTCTTGCCACTGAAGCCGCCTTTTTACTGAGTCTGGTTTTCGGCCTATGAAGAAGAAGAAGAAGAAGAAGAAGAAGAAGAAGAAGAAGAAGAAGAAGAAGAAGAAGAAGAAGAAGAAGAAGAAGAAGAAGAAGAAGAA